CCGGCCGGCGGGCGGAGGGCGGGCGCGCGGGGCGAGCGGTGGGGTGTGTCCGCGAGCCGGGACCCCGGAGCGCGTCCTCCAGCCCTGGAGCCCTGGAGGATGGGTCCCGGCTACCGGAGCGCTGGCAGAAGCGCAACAAAGAGAAAAGTCTTTCTTTTCCAGGTTCTCTCTCATCTATCTACTTGAGTAATTTCTAAAGGGGGTTTGAACTTCTATTCTGAAATCTTCGGCTGATTGTGGTGGCTTAATTCTGGATCAGGATTTTAAGTCTTAGGCATGTTTGTGCCTCTCGGAATATTAAGTGCGAAATTTGCCAGATAACTTTGGCGAGAAGGCGAGTAGGGAAGGACTGTTTGGTGATGACTTGCCTTTGGAGTAAAGAGTGTTTACTCTGGAAAAAAGAATTCTTGGGTCTGCAAATTCCGACTTGTGATTTCTGCAAATCCTGATTAGATTGGCCGCTCTCGGCACGCTCCTCTTATTTTCTTTTTTGCTGAGAAAGCCTTATAATAATAACGTATGCTCGCAAACACATTCAAAACACTCCGTGTGCTCCAAGTGACAACCGCTGTACGCGTAATAGTTGCTGACAGATTTTTTTTTTTTTTGAGTTTGGGATGACAGTCATTTTCCTCTGAAAATAGTTGTCTGTTTTGTTTCTAGGATTTTTTATTCTCGAGTATTTACGTATAAATGTTCTGTCCATGAGAAACATACGTTTGATTTAATACTATAGATCTATATATTACTCTAAAAATGTCACATACTCTCTTTTAGTGATTATTTTATTTTAAAGCATCATTGGCAAAATTACATGTGGTGAGGACCAAGGGGGAAACTACAGGATTCAGAATTAAAGTGTATTTGAGAAACTTTTGAAAGGGGATGTGAAGAGAAGACATTAAAATGAATTCACAAACAGACTGCCTTTTGAAAACTTGAAAATAATTTAATATGTATCTGTTTTCTTATTACATAACAGAATGATTTTGTAGAGAAACAAAGTACCTTAGTTTTTTCCTTCAAAAGCTAATTATGAATTATCTGTTTACTTTAGTAGTTAGATAAATTATAATTCCAGACCCAACTACCTTTCAAATTATTTCATATTATTTTACACCTGAAATAGACCCCCACAAAAAGCATCTTAAATTTCTACTCCTCTATTCAAACATTCATAACTTTATGACCATTTGGTAGCAAATACTGTACATAAGTGAAAATTAAGATGTGTATATCATTGATAATTTTGTAAATTACTAAACAGAACATTATTTTAACACAGGTTTTATATAAATAACCAAACAGCAAGCTATTCTTATGGATAGATCTTGGGGAAAAAATGCACCTGATACATACACAACCCTCACCTTTTTCAGTTACATTATAATATCTACCAAAATAAAAGAGAAACCTGGCTTTTCTTTATCCCTGATGCTGTAAAACATTTCAAATCTCAGGGACAACTGAAAGTTTTACTCTGCATTTGCTTAATCAGAGCTTAAGTTAATGATTAAGTTATATAGTGTAGTATCTACTGCCTTCAAGGCATAGTTCTATCTGTTGTCACTACCATATTTGAACACCCCCAATACAAACATTCATCTTGCCTCTGTATGCAATATCTTGTCTCTTCACCTACACCCCTTAATCTGTCCTGTTTCATTACCATAATTTGTGTATAAAATTGAAATCCACCACCTCATTTCATAAAAGGGTATTTAGTATATATGTTATATATATGTAATCTTTTTATATTTATAGAAACTGATGGCTCATCAGGCAATTTTCTAGTTAAAAACTTATTATTTAAGGTTCTCATTTCTTGATTTTTTTTTTAATTTGCCTCAACTGTCTATTTAGTTTATACCCTGCCATAGCAAAGAGCAGTGAAAACCGCAGGTGGAGAGCAAATTTTTTTTTTTTAAATTTTCTATTTCTCCTCTTAGAATGGTGTTTTTACCTACAGAAGGCACTCAGCAAATGCTGTTAACAGTTTTAGGTAGTTCTAGTTTTCTTTTTTCCTCTGGCTTTCTCCCTCGATTCCTTGCTTTTAAATTTTATTTTATTTTTCTGGCTCTCTGGGGGTAATCAGAGCTCAAAAAAAAAAAAAAACCCAAAACCAAAACAAAACAACCAGACGGAGAAATCCGTGGTTGGGTCATTAGAGATACAGCCCTGGATGTAATTATAGCATGCCTGTAATCTCCTTAAGGGCAGCGACGGCTTAGGGTTCGTCTTGGATTTCTCACAATGCCCACTCCACTGCCTGGTACTCAGAGACGCAATCCACTTTTGTGGAATGGAATTACGAAATGTTAAGTGTGGCAGAGCCTCGTGTAACAGCTAAACCCTGTTCTCCAGCTCTGCCATCCCCCGGAGCCCTGAGTGCCCATCACCTCTCGGGCTGAGACAGTCAGGAAAGCGGAAAGGAGCAGAGGACGGGGAATGAAGAATCGGGGACCGATTCCCAGCTCCGCCCCTCCTCTCCCGGCCCGGGGTCTGGGTCTGCCGGAGGGGAGGGCTGGGGGCCGACCCTGCCCCCCGCGCGGTTCCCAGCCCAAGTTCAGGGGAACAGCCGCGGCCGAACCCCGCTGGACGAGTCATGCTCGGGGGCAGCCTCTGCCCAGAGGAGGGTGGGGGCCGTCCCGGGATTCTGCCGACTCCTTTAGGGAAAAAAATCCCCCCGCTGCCGCTCACGCCCCACTGCTTCAGCCCCGGAGTTACCATCAACAGGTGTGTTGAAACACGTTGTAAACCGCGGACGCTGACGGTCCCGAGGCGCCACATCGGGAATTAAACGGGCCCCGCCCAAACCTCTCCTTCGCCTGTGAGGCTCGAGCCGGGTCCTTTAAACGTGCCCTCCGGGAGCAGCGGGGCCGGTCCTGCCCTAGCGCGTCCGTCCGGAAACGCGGCCGCGGGCGGAGGGTTCCGGGGTCTCCGAGGTGCGCGTTGGCCGGGCAACGCCGCCTTCTCTTCCAGGGGGACGGCGCGGGAGGAGTCGGAGCCCGAGCCCTCCGCTGTTCCCCCGGCTTCATGGGCTGCTGAGCCCGGTCGTCCTCTCGTTAACGCAGGATGGCGCTTGAGGCCTCGCCCGCCTCCTCTTCTGTCCCGCGGCCCCGCCTAGGTGAAGGCCCATCGCCCCTTTAGGCGTCCCCACCCTCCTTTTCAGAACTTCTGTGCCTCTGGTGGTAATCCGATAACAAGCATTTGTAGGGGCTTTTATGATTTGTTGATAAATCAGTCAATTTGGGGACGTAAATATTTATAAACCAGAAAGGGTTCTACAAATGCTTGCTAAGCGCGTCACCTCGCGTGAACCCCACAGCTGCCATATGTGAGAGGGGATGATTCCTCCCATCTGGGTTCAGGGTTCATTTGCCTAATGGGACCGAGGCTTGAATGTGACCGAGCTCTTTTGGAGCTGTTTTGGCAGTTATCTCACTTAAGGACTAAAGAACTCTGGCATTTGGGGTGGTATTGGGGAGCCAAAAAGAGTTAACAGTGAAAAAACAAAACTTTCTCTAAAATAGAAAGCAGACCACTCACTAATGCCAGCTACTCAATTTGGGGCGATGGTAGTGCCAGCCGTTATCTCATTTAAGCCTGCAGATAGCTACAGGTGGTTGTTATCACTATTTGTAGGATGGAGGAAGGAGGAAGGGGTGGAGGCTGACCCAGGGCCTAACACAGCTCTGATGATCTACTTCCCCACTCCCTTCCAGATCCTGTTGATCCTTTTTCCAGAGGAGAGGGAAAGCTTATTCTTTGGATACAGCTTTATTGATTTTTATTTTTAAAAGCAAAGTCCAGAGTTGCTGTTGCCTGTGTAACCGCTGTTCCTCTTTTCTCAGCCCTGGCGTGGATGCTCCCTTCACCTGGCCTTTGGAGACTCCGTTGCTTTTTAATGGCGGCAGCAGCTGCTGGGTGAGCAGCCGGACTGGACGGTATTCCTCCCGTCAGGAGAGGATTGCTTTCTCCTGCTTTCTGTCACCACCCCTGGATTGGTGGCGGTGCTTTTCCCTCTTGACTCCTCCACTCTTGGAGAGAGAAGATGCCACTGCCTTTTGGATTGAAACTAAAACGCACCCGGCGCTACACGGTGTCCAGCAAGAGCTGCTTGGTGGCCCGGATCCAGCTGCTCAATAACGAGTTTGTGGAGTTCACCCTGTCTGTGGAGAGCACTGGCCAGGAGAGCCTGGAGGCCGTGGCCCAAAGACTCGAGCTGCGGGAGGTAAGCCGCAAAAAAGCCTGCAGGCGTCTCTGGCCTGGCTTCACTCCTTACTGCCCAGCCACTTGAATGCATGCTGCCTGTTGTGTTCTCCAAGTAGGTCTCTGGCCATGCTATCTAAGTCGAGCCTGCAGCCCCTGTCCCCATGAGGAAGGAAGAGATACAGAACAAGAGGTCTTGGGTGTGCTCCATAAGAGAATTCACAACGCCTGAGTTTTGAAAATGGTTATATATTCCCACAAAAAGTATTCCAGAATCAAATAGGAATGGCTTTTGGATTATCCAAGTTCCATTTTTCTTTTTTTTTGCCGAGGAGGACTGGCCCTGGGCTAACATCCGTGCCCATCTTCTTCTACTTTATATGGGATGCCCCCATAACGTGGCTTGACAAGTGGTGCGTTGGTGCGCACGTGGGATCCGAACCTGCGAACCCTGGGCCGCCAAAGCGGAGCGCCAGCACTTAACCGCTGCGCCACTGGGTGGCCCCGAGTTCCCTTTTTCTAATATAATCCCCAGTGGGTCATCCTGATCTAGTACAGTTTACTGACTTCATTCATTCATTCCACAGTCATTGACTGTTTTGCATAGGCCAAGCCAAGATTGTAGAGACATATTGCCTGAGTTTGAATTCTGGTTTCTTCACCAAGTTGTTTAACTTTGGGCGAGTTATGTGACTTCTCTGAGCTCCAGTTCCATCATCTGAACTATGGGGAGAAGAGGGGTGCCTAACCCTCAGAGTGGTTGTGTGATTTAATGCGCATGTAAAACCATAGCTCTAATAACTAGTCTGTTATAGTAATCATAGGTTTGCCTTGGAAAACCCCCATTCTAGTCAGTAGGAAGTTGTGGAGTCCTCAAGTATCCACATAATGTCTTAAATTTAAAATGCTGTGTAAGGGCTGTGAAGAAAAGGGCTCTAATTAAACCTAAGACTCTTCCAGCCTTTGGCTGCCTGATTTTGGGTAAGAGAAAGATGGACAAACTGGTTATTCCACTTAAATGCCCACGTTATCTTCCTAACTGGAAATCCCACTGATGTTGTAGTTCATAAAAAGTCAGGAATAAACTGTGCCCTCTAATCATTTGATCATTCAGTACTGAAGACCTATTAAGTGCCAAGCACATGTGTACTAGGAGCTCACCCTTGTGTTGATACCAATAAGAAAACAGGCATGACTTGTGCTATGAGAGGGGACGTAGAGGGGTGCTGTACTCAATAGGGAGGGGCAGGAAAGGGGAAACCTTCCCAGGGCAAGTGATGTCTGAGCTGGGACCTGAAGGGTGGGGCGGGGCAGTCCTATGGTGGGCGGGGCTGGAAAAGACTGTTCTAGCGGAGGAACTGCATGAAGGCCAAAGATGTGAGGCCAGCTCTACTCTCTATCTGGAGCCTGAAGTGGGGAGAGGAAAGGCTGAGAGCAGGGGCCACATAATGCGGGGGTTTTTGTTAAGGGTCTGGGCTTATCCGGAAAGTACTAGGGAAGTTAGTGAAGGGTTTTTAACCAGGGGTGTGGTATGATTGCTTTTGCAAAGAAGTGAGCCCTCTGGAGAATGATTAGAAAGGAGTAGTTCTGCTGCAGATGGTGATCACCTGGATTTGGATGAGGATGGAGAGAAGTGGGTGGAATCTGGAGACACTCAGGACCTGCCTACCAAGTGTTGGGGAAAGGCTAGTCAGGGGTCTAGGGTGATACTCAGATTTCCAGTAAATGGTGGGGACTATAACTGAGAGATGAAACATGAAAAGCAGGTTTAAGGGCGATAAGAAGAGGTGTGTGGTGAGTTCAGTTCTAGAAATACTGAGTTTGAGGTGCCAGTTGGAGATGTTGAGCAGACAGAGGCATATGCAGGTCTGGAGCTCAAGTGAGAGACCCAGGCTGAAGGGAGAGATTTGAGAATCATCAGCCTAGGTCAGTTAATCAAAGGTGGGAGAGGGTATGAGGCTGTCCAGGGGAGAAAAAGAAGACGTAGCAGACCCCTCAGGGTTGAATAGAGGATTGAGCAGCCCAAGAAGGAGAAAGTAAACCAGGAGAGCCTGCCTGAGTGACTGGTCCTGCTTGCTTGAATTTATTCCATCTTTTTTGCTTCCTTCACCCATTTTTCCTTTTTTCGTATTTTGGTTTCTTTTTCCCGTAAATATCTTCCTCTTGCACCAGGTCTGCCTACAACTCCTACAGAGTTGACTTCTTGAGGCACTGTAGTTAATTTATTTTCGTACCCAAAGTACCAAGCATGGAATGTGCTCAAATACAGGTTAAATGAAGCCATAGGCATTGCTTTTCTTCTCTGTTCATCAGGAAGTCCAGAGAAGTTGCCATCTCTGGTTTGAGTTATCAGACTCAGGCACAAGCAGCTTCATACAGCTGTGGGTGTATAATGAGACTGTTTTTTAACAGAGGGGTGGAGTGCTCTCAGAGGGAACAGGCATGATCCCTAGAAAATGTCTTGCCCCGGGACAGGCTATCCCACTATTTCCAACATTTAATAACAGTCATGGTTAGAAAGTTTGTATAGCAGACTTTTCAAAGCTCCAGAAGCTCTTCTCTGTAGTATGTAAACAGATGACTCAAACCTCAGGCCTAATCTTACCCAGTGACTGTTCAGAAATAATCTGAGTCAGGGCAACACCTGTTCTTGGTTTGTGTCTATACATTTCTTATGAGATTCATACCAAGAGGTATTGGCATGTTGTTATCTTACTCTATTCTCCGATCTAGCAAACTCAGAATTATCATTGCATGTACATTTGGCTGATAAGCTTTGCTACTGCCCAAATTTAAATTGGGGGGGAAAAATCTTTACTTTTCTTGCTTGATTGAATACCACTTCACTTCTATAATGACAATTATAAGATCTACTCAATAATATTATTATAATGCTATACTGGGGGCTTCAGCTATATCGGTAGTATTTTATATCTTAAGCTGAATGTGTGGGTATGTGATGTTTGTTTTGTTAATCTTCATAGTCTTTTGAATGTCTGAGATATTTTATAATACATTAAAAAAACTAATAATAAGAAGGTTAATATACTTATATCCAATTTAGTTAACTTAGATTGTTAACTTTTTTCTAAATTCACCATATTTGAATGATGGAAAGTGACTTTTAAAAATGGAAAAAAAATCGCTGTGGGAAAATATTGCTGTTCATCATAGCAACAGCCTCTGAGCTGTTGAAATTCTTTGCATATCATTCAGAGTTTCACAACACTTTTCAAGAGAGGCTATGAAAGTCTTTATAGAATGTAAGGGGATTTAGAAGACTTTCCAATTTTGAAAGTATATGTTATAGAGGTTTGGTGGAGCCAGTGAGATGAGAGTGTGTCTGTCGGCTGGGCACGACCACTCCCATGTGGCAGTGTCACCTTGGAAGAATCAACACAGTCTAGTCAGGCTTAAACCTAATGTCTCAGGGAGTAAGATCTGCATTACTCCAGCTCATTGAGAATGATATGTACAACCAGGATGCAGGTTTAGTAATTTACAAGGAGATATGGAATCCCAAGGGCCTCAAGAATGTGTGCCCCCTGGCCAGGCCATGATTTCTGTCTAGGCGGTCCACGTGGGAGCCAGAGCAAACCATAACTTGCTTGGTGAGCAGGCAGTCAGAGAAGGGACGTTGCCCTGAAAGCCATACATATCTTCATAAGGGGAACAGTGCTGTCTCCAGGACCAGACGTGTTCATTTGAGTCTGGGAACCTTTTCTGGCCGGTGGTAGGGTGGACACTGCCTCTGTTTGCCTCTTGAGAGGGCTGTTTAACAGAGTGGTTAAGACATTTGCCAGTTGGGTCAGAAACACTGAGTTTTGGATCTCGGTGCTGCCACTTATCAGTTGTGTGACCTTGGAAAAATTAATTTCTCAAGTCTGCTGGTTTTTCATCTGTAAATTGGGGATTATAAGAATATCTGTTTGATGGTGGTTGTGAGGATTCAATGTTAAATGTAAAACATTTAGCAGAGGACCTGGTATTTAGGAAACTCTCAGTTAAGTGTTATTCTTCATCATCATTGTTTTTATTGTTATTCGTGACTTCCATTTCCATGTTGTGATGACTGACCTCTTCAAATGAACTTTTCTTATTTTTGTAAATATCTTTGTTTTTTCTTTTTACTGAAAGGATACATGCTTGTTTATAAACTGTTCTTATAGCACAAACAAATACAGCAGCCACTGGCACTCACACTTCTTACGTTAGTTACTAAATTGTTAAAATTATAATATACCATTGTAATTTAGCAGTCATATTTGAACCTCTATTTCCATGCCAGCTGAAATTAATTTGTCCAGTGTCACTGCCTCATTGCCCTAGACCCAGAGCTTCAGTAGGTTTTTATTTCTCTATTAGCTTTTTTTTTAACCTCTTGCCCTCAACCTAACCCCCAAGATTTAAAAAAAAAAAATTATGAAATTTTGGATTAAGATTTGTATTTTTTCTTTAGGGTATGTCTTTCTCAAGAATTCTTCCCCCCCCCAAATTTAATATAATTAATTAATTAATTTATTTATTTGTGAGGAGATCAGCCCTGTGCTAACATCTGCCAATCCTCCTCTTTTTTTTTTTTTTTTTTTTGCTGAGGAAGACTGGCCCTGGGCTAACATCCGTGCCCATCTTACTCCACTTTATATGGGACGCCACCACAGCATGGCTTGCCAAGCAGTGCGTCAGTGCATGCCCGGGATCCAAGCTGGCAAACCCCGGGCCATCGCAGCGGAGCGCGCGCACTTAACCGCTTGTGGTACCAGGCTGGCCCTCAAGAATTCTTTTTAAATCTGTTATAGCATTTGATGATCACATCTTTATCATGCTGTCATGGATTTTAATTAGATTCATTACAAACTATTATTTCCTGTTTCTGCTGCCTTCCTTTATCTTAATGTCCTTATTTAGCTTAAATTTACATATGGTTGGAGTTTTTTTTTTTTGAAGTTTTTAATTTTTTTTTTTTTTTGAAGTTTTTAAATCTTCAGTTAGGAAACAAGGAAGTTATAAAACCCTGAAAGC